TATGAGGGTTAATAAAATATATTGGTTCTATTCTATTCTATACGGGATTAGCAACGCTCTCAAACAATTGAAGACTCTAGAAAGGGGGCAAAAAACCAGTAGGTACGTAAAACCTTTAAGTGCTTGTTCAATTTCGTTCGTCACGAAGGCATAACGCTAGAAGCATCACACAGGATCGTGGTGGTACACTTCTTCAAAAAAGATGAAAACGCCATAGTGTTGTCATCTTTTTTTGGCGAAATGGCTCTGTTCTTCAATAGTGAAGAACACTGCCGGATTTAGGGGAGGGCAACCGGGGCGAAAGCCCCGGGGCATCCACAAACGGGGGGCCCCCACAATAGAGACTTCGGAAAAAAATCGAAATCATCAACGATTTTACGATGAAAAAAGCTCGAAAGGTTCCGTTCGTTAACTCTAAGATTTAATTTCAGATAATTCTTGTTTCCGTTTATATTTATATGTGTTTGTTCAATACTAAGAGAAAATTCAAAACCAAGTAGGTTCACAATAAATTATTTATTGAAAAGCTCGACTGAAAAAAAATGGTTTACTTTATTTGGAAAATAATTTGGGGTGAGGGGGCATCCGCTCCTCTGTTGCCCCGAGGCCTCTGGACCTCTAAACCCGCCCTGGTGAAGAACAGAGACATTTCTCTGCGACTATCGTTACATCCTAGTGCTAAATGATGCCACCATGGCAGTATTTATACAAGATCAGACTACGAGACATATCGAACCGCAGCCACAGAATATATACACTACGCGAAAAGAAGCGACACTTAGGCCGTATACAGAAAGAAAGCCGAAAGCCGATCGGCGCCTATTGACGCTGATCCTTTTTCTATGGACCGGCGCCGATAAGTGCCGACACGCGCGGGTCCGAATAATAAATAATTTGTATTTGAATTATTATCCTTAGATTAAATCAATCTAAGTTATAATCTTTTTATAAATCTAATAACTTTATCTTTTATTAACTAAGCGCTAAAATTATTTGTTTCGTACTTACCGATTGGTGACAACAAGTCTTTCTTCTGGAAGGATTGGTTGTTTATGCCAATTGCCCCAATTTTTCATCAAACGGTTTTTCACTAAATCCAAAATGTAATAAAATGTTTCTTGAATCATTCTTGTATATGTATAAAATCTTTGTTCATCAAATTTAATTTTTTTTACAAATAAATGATGGTATTCTCCGAAACGTTTCCTTTCTCTATTTATAGGATGTATAGCTGTTTTTCGCATTTTTAAATAAACATTTTCTAACAAAACCAAATCATCGTCCGATGAGTCCGACATTTTGCTTGATCTGCTTTAATCGGCTTCCTTTATGTAGGAAGGATCGGCGCCGATCGGCTTTCGGCTTTCTTTCTGTATACGGCCTTAAGCATGTGTGCTCGTAAAATCGCCCGCGGCTATGTGTGGGTGTCTGGAGGTGCGCGCGGGGGCGTTGCGCGGCGCGCGGGGCGTGGAGAGGGCAGTCGCCGACTGCCTCGACCGAAGGCATGGCAGTAGCGAAATAGTAAAATAATAGCGTTGCACTGCATTGCACGCACAGACTGACTACGCTACGCAATCTTATTATTATTTGGATAATAATAAGAATTATAAAACGAATCGAAAAAGGAGATAATATATAAAAGTTAGCAATTTGTTATAGTACCTACTTACATTAAATGATTAAAAATTGATTATAAAATCAAACCTATGCTTCATTATTTACCCCAGTATCCTTGAATCACTTTACATTTAATAACTTACTATGCTTAAATATTCATTGGCACAAGTCTAAATTCCAAGTTCAACCCTAGCGCATACACGCTCCTGCTCAAGGTCACTGACGCTGGAACTCTCACGTACAGAGAGTGTCACCGCGCTGTGCCGCAGCTAGAAATGCGATGTAATCTCCTGAAAGCTGTTTACCGCTGTGTTTAAAGACATTTTTAAGTTTCTGGATTGGGCCGGACTTGGTATAAACGTCAACGGCGAATACGAGTAGTTATCGCAAACAATCTGGAGGATCTAAATATGATGTTCATCGATCTCTGCAGAGCCTCTCAACATAAAATGAACACGAGAACGACGAAAATTATCTTACGATTATGTTCCACTTCACACTGTATTATTTGATACCCTAGATACACCAACACGAACAAAATCGTGCCCGAAACCTGTCCAAAATGTATATTGAACGATCCACGGAGCTCCATAAGTAGGGCTGCCATCTCTAAAATGTGGCAACCAGGATCAGAGGCGTGATAACCCCGGACTTTGGAGCCCAGAACCCGGACAGACCAATAAAAAACAGTTAAAAATGTCACAAATCAACTTTGTTTATGTTGATTATACAAAAGAGCTAGAGCGGTCTACCTCATAATAAGTAGTCACTGCTGCCCATAGACACTTGCAGCACCAAGGGCCACTCATGCGTTGCCGGCTCTGAACGCAAAGGTTCATACGCCTGTTTAAGATTACCATATCTTAGTTATAAGAAAAAAAATACTGAGGAAAGTTCGTTCTAGATCTTGCTGGTACATAAAAGAAAGGAACACATGGTGCTCGAACGCCAGGCGTCCAGATGATGGGCGGGAAACTTCTCTGTGTGTGGTGCTGTGAAGAAACTTAGCCACTGGCATCCGGTTGAATAATTCCTCGGAACACTCTCCATTGATTATTTAGACGGTACGACACGTAGGAGTTGCGTCCTTTTACGTGTTGTACCGTCTGCGCATGCTAAGGGGTTACAACGCGTGAGTGAGCTCAGGAGCATCGATATGCCAATTGCCCGCTTTTGTAACCGGTCAAGAGGAAGGAGCTGGTATTGGGGTGCTCCAGCCCCAGAGGGCCAGTGCTTTGTAAAGTAACACCCGATATTTAGGCTTGAGGTACTTACTAGTTCTTAATCACACAAGCTTTTTTACACACACTTGTGTCTTTGCTGGGTTAATCCAATCAAATTTTGTTGGCTCCAATTTCAGACTTGATCCAGTAATATCTTAATCTCGGACACAAGCCTGTCTTTACATCCTTCTTCTTCCATCAGAGGGATGTTTGACCGGCCAGTGTAAAAAGTTTCAGTGCTGTCATCCACATAGCAACGAATGCTGTTATTGCGGACAGTATGGGCGACAAAGCTGATCTTTGTTTGAAGTCAGCATTTATGGTTACAGTGTTAGAATAGATTTATTTATTTTCAAAGACATTTAAATTGACGGATTAATTGGCGACCCAAAACAGGAAATTTTTAAACCCCGGACGCCACGTAAACTAGGACAAATCCGGGGAAACCCGGACGGATGGCAGCCCTATCCATAAGATTATCGCGTTGTCAAAAACAATGCAAGGCATTATTTAAACATTGAAAGTTGCCTTTAATGCATAATGTATAAGGTCTTAATTAAAATGCATGCGTCAAAGAGATATGACAGTTCAAAATGAAAGCTCGTAAAATTTTACGACTCATTGTTATATGCGGAAGAATATAGACCTTATTTCTTTGACACCATGCGCAATTCTGAATGCACTGTTAGCAATATAGCAGGTACGGTAATATTAAATCGGTTTATAGTAACTATTAGAAAAATACTAGCAAACCAGTGAACCAAGTGTTCACCAAAAAAAAAATGGGTGCGTGTACTTATGTAGGCGCGTGAGAAGTTATCCTTCTTTGGCATCGTTTAAAATTAGTTTTTAATTGCATGCAAATAATTAATTACAATAAATTAATAAAAAGTCTGGAAAAGGACACAGTCAATAAAGTTCAGTTTTAATTTGAAAAAATAAATAAATAATCAAAATATTCAATTAAAATCGCTACTGAATATAATTTATTAGAACATATGTGATTTGCACTTGTATGAAACTCAAACACGTATTCCGAATATACAAACTAGAAACATGTGGATAATTATAAATATGAATACCTATAACTGTTACTTTATTACAAAAAATACAGATGTGGTTTTTGGTTCTACTACACCAATGGTCAAGAGATGGCGCTGTAGTCTCCTGAATCGCGCTTTGGTTCCGTTGTTCCAGATTAATAAATACTTTTGATAGGCCTTCACAATGCAGTCGTTAGCACCCACTAAATAGAGATTCTATTTCTATTTTGTTGGTAGATTTTCTTAATGTGCGGTAAACACAAAAGTAACAGCATGAAGTCTTCATGCTGTTAAAATTTTGTGTTACAGTGATGCGCGTGCATTTTAAAATTTCACTCTCATCATTTTTTCATAACGCGCCTAAAGAAGTATAACTTCAAAAATGTATTTAATTAATTGAGAACTTCGGAGATTTTGTGTGGTTTCGTTTGAAATAGAAATCACGTGATTTCTCGAAAACCGGAAGTGCTACGTTACTCACATCCGGTTTGTAGTCTTATCAGACTATTCTTAACTTATAAGTTAAACATTCTCTTTACCTATCTCTTACGGTTTGGCCGCTGAAACAGCACCACGGACGGACGGACGGACTTGTCTATTAGATAAGAGATTTGTTTCAAAAGCGTTAAATTAACAAACATTGATTAGTAGATACTTGTCGAAAAAACGACACTTAACTGTAAGTATTTATTTTTCGCATTTTTTCAAGGAGCTCTGCGGCAACTTGAAACGGTCCGCGCGTGACTGTGAACCTAGAAGTGCTTGGAGTGGTGTACAAGCAGTTCTTGATTGAGAGACACATTTTGAGGGCACATGGTGTTTCCAGGGTATTTAATATCGTTGGCTGAGACTGTGCGCGCTGCTCTGTGAGAGAGCTACTGCGCTTCGGGAAGGAGCTAGCCTGGCTGAGCGAGCAGGTCCCACAAACCCTGCACGCACAATAGACCAAATCAAGAGCCTACATTCGGAAAAAGGGGCCCACCCACAAGTAACACACAGTTAGGGTCTGAAGCCATGGTCTAACTCTATCAAGAAAAGATAAACATAACAGTATCAAATTGTATAAAAAAGATCAACGTTTCAAAATTTCAATGAATCTTAAATAATACAAATGTTACATTTTGTTGGTGTTTATTCTTATAAAATATAATATAGCATATTTATATGATGCCAATTTTGTTAGCGACATCTAATGCATCGTAGTCCCTGGCAAGTCGAACATATGCCTTCTTTTTGCCATCGGGCCTAAAACAAAATAATAAGAAAATCAATTATAAAATATTAAAGGATTTAACTTTGATATCTATCTAATAAAAGTCAGAGCTGTGTAATATTTCTTTCACTATATATCAATGAGATTCCCACAAGTTATCATCATTTTAATTTTAAGAAAAACATGATGAATCAAACCATTTAGAAGAAGACTTACCTGATAAGGGTGTTCACTTTAGCAACATTAATGTCGTACAGTTTCTTAACTGCAGCTTTAATGTGGTGTTTGTTTGAACTGGTGTGAACAATAAATACCAAGGTATTGTTATCTTCAATCTTCTTCATTGCTGCTTCCGAAGTCAATGGAAATTTTATGATGTTATAGGCATCCATGCTGAAACATTCAGAATTTATAGACATTAGTTAAAAAAATGTGACAGTTAATAAATACCTTTTATGTCTGTTCATATTGAGTTCAGCAAATGTTGATAGGTGGTGGTGGTAGGTACTAACATTATAAAATGATATAAGAAAATGATAGCATTTAAAATTTGTTCACCTAAGCTAGGTTTTGTAAATTCACAAGCCTTTTCGGACGGGGTGTAAATGGAAAAATCCTATGGAAAAGTGGAAATGCGTCGCGAGCGTCATATGTGTGCGTGTGTGTGGGATGCGTGCGCAGCTCTTTCCGACGAACATGAAAGTTGGAGGGTAATTCGGCCAAGGCTGAAACGCTACGAGCGTCACACGCGACATTATATATATATATATATATACATATTGTAACGTGTTAAGAAAGCCACAGAAAATAAAAAAATGGACTAGCGAAAACCAAACAAAACTGATGTGACGTTTTCACATGAGTTTTGTTTGGTTTTCACTAGTCCATTTTTTAATTTTCTCTGGCTTTAACAAGGCTTTATCTAGACTGATGCTTGCCATTTGGAAAATGCAAAACGAAGAAAATTTGGACGCCACTTCACGACGTAATTTTTTACCTACAAGATGAGAATTTAGTAACCTCAGTTATTATTATATTAACATGTTAATCTTTTAAGTTTATCAATCTTTTTGATGATGGTTTTCTAAATTCAAAGTGTTTTCCTTTAAATATTTCGGTAATTTACATGTAGATTATGTCTTAGCTGGAGATATAAGTTTGCCATTTCTTTAAAACAGTGAGAACCTTCAAAGTTTCTTTTGTTTTATACATTTTTTTTTGTACCATGTGCTTATCTGCGTACTGTTTATTTCGTCCATAGGCATTTTTTACACTTAATTTTTTGATTAATTTTAACATTTTATTATGGAATTGGAATCATATGACATGTTTTATTATTAAATATTAAGATTTTTGCCTTGTAATTTGAATAACCTAATGAATTTGTATGCCTATATTGGCACAACACATTGTGTATCCCTCAAATCATAAAATCTTACTTACACATGTTACAAATAAAAATTTTCTTTCTTTAGGAAATTTTATAGAGGACAATGAAAATACCATTTGTCATTAATTGGAGCTAGGCTTCCATAAATACATTCAACTCAATATATTACAAAGATTCTAATATTTTTTATGACAGATTATAGACATGACGCATTGTTTAGACACTGTTTTATAGTAAATTTTATGGAGAATCCAAATATATATAGTTTGTATAGGGTATTCTTACAAAATAACAGAGAAATCGGCAAAGCAATGCAGTCATTCCCACCCCGCGGGGGGGCTCTGAAGGTCGCCACCGCAGATCAGATAAGGGGCGCATGCGCATTGCCGCGCGAGAGGATATATATTATGAGTGATATGTGCACTGCTCAATTTCCCTATGCCAAATGCACTGCCTAATATTAGATTATTTAAGAAAAGAAGTTTCACTTCAAATATGTAGTCCGTGCAGTTTTTTTTATAATTATGGGCCTTGTGATAGGTACAGTAGCAGCATGAAAAGGATGATCAGTTTAAAAAATTGATAAGTTATTGATATGTTTAGTCCAAGAAGAATATTATTTGAATTTAATAATGACTACATTCTTTTTCCAGGTTGAACCCACTGTTACAGCCTTAATATGAATATATGAATGATGATCATTTCATCTATGTGAAAGTCATATGGTCGCACAAAATTTCATTAACCATGGTTTGTCATGTCACATTTCTATTAACAGTACCATATCAATTTAAAATGAAGCCACCCTTAAAACCTCTCTGCCCTAAAATTGAAGTGTTGAAAAATTACTGTTTGAAATACTCTTTCAAAAATAAATTTATTTCCTATAACCTCAATTGCAACATATTAACTTACCGATTTCTCTTTGGCAAGGATTTCCTTGGGTATTTGGGATGCCTTGGTGGCTCATAAGTCTTGGGCCGGCGGAAATGCACAGATGTGCGAATTTTACGCACTCGTTTGCCATGTTCACCCTTGACAACCTAAAAAAAACAAAACAGTGCAATGATAATTTTTTTTTCAAAAATGTAGGTTTCCTTTAATCCATTAATGAAGTTTTATTTTGATTCAAATCAAAAAATACATAAATATAGGGCAGAGTATAGTTAACACTTTACCAGGCCCTAGAAATGGTAGTACAAGTGAATCCAATTCCAAGTTTCAAGACCAAAGGTAATATTCTTTTAGACTCTTTGGACAGTTTTGAGGTAGATTCCTTACCAAAACCTGGTTAAAACCTCCAAAAATGTATGTGGGTGGTGTTCAATCCATAGTCTGTTTAAGGGTTAAATAAGCCTAAAAGAGATAACTTGACTTGTGTACCTTTCTTTGAGCTTTAAGTGCTTTGACCACAGGTTTTACAACTTTTTTTTGGCCTTTGATGCCTGTTTTCTTAGGCTTAGGAGCGATCTTGAGCTTGGCAGCTGCAGGCTTTGGCTTGCTAGGTTTGGAAGCTGCCGCCGCTTTCTTCTCTGAAGGCTTAGCACTGGACTTGGTCTTGATGGCGGCAGCTTTAGCAGAGCCAGGTTTTGCAGTAGGTGCAGCAGAAGATTTCTTTTCAGCTGGCTTGGCCGCCGGGGCTGAGGCTGGCTTAGCTGCAGCAGGTTTAGCAGCTGGCGCCGCCTTAGGAGCAGCTGCCTTGGGCGCTGGTGCTGGTGTTTTCGCAGTAGCTGGCTTAGGGGCACTACTTGTAGAAGCGGCTTTGGGTGCTGCCGCAGGTGTTTTAGAAGTAGCGGGTTTTTTCTCCGCGGGCTTGGCCCCGGCAGACCCTGGATTATCATAAAAATTATAACATTATAACCTCAACAGTGACTAGTTTAGTAGTTATATTGATAACAGAAGTGTTATTAAAACTTAAAATAGTTGATAGGAGAAAAGAAAATAAGGATTGTATTTTTCTTAGATTTTATGCGAATAATAGTAACAATTTAGGAAGGTGTACCGCGTGGCTCAACAAATGTCAATATTTTATTCTCAATATTCACCAAGATAAAAGACTAAACTTACACGGCCATTACAGAAACTAACACTTTATTCTTTTAGAACGCGTAATGGACTCTAGAAACGAAATAATTGTATGAAAATTAAAATACACACCGGATTTCTCTGGTTGCTTCTTGGGAGGCATCGTGACAAAAAAGATGGAGGTATCACGGTGTTGCCATACTACAAATTATTAGATAATTTTTTTTTTTAGTAGGGATTAGGGCGGCAATAAACAGTGCGACCAAGATCTTGTAGCACGTGGCCAAAATCGGAACTGTAGTAGCGGTTAGGGGTGGTAGTTTTTAGAATAACGATGCGCGATAACAATGCCAGTTTTGGATGCGCGTATCCGATGCGACTTGGTACCATTATCAGGGATGCCAATACTGTATTACTGTCTAGTTTTTGTCAACGTAACTAAAGCTACAGTACCACAAACTTATTTGTACTGGTGGAGGTATCACTATTTCATAGAAATGGCAAAATGTTGAGGATAAAATAATTGTAGTTCCAATTTTTTTCACCAGCAAAGAAAATTAAGAGACATTATAGCTCGTTGGCTGCATATCGCCATCTTTCTAGGAAAATAGAGTAAATTACCGTGTTGCTACAGCTAAACTGACGGTTTACCAATGAATCGAAAAGGCACACAAACAAAAAACACGCATCTGTCGTTATTCGTATCGCATCGCATCCTGTGATACTACAATACTAGCTAGACTGACATGTACGTCGCTGCGCTCATCGGATACGATTTATTTGGTATTGATGCCCATCAATATCACAAATAACTAAAAACGTCTATCTCTAATAGTGGCACTCTGATGACCGTTTTGACCATAGAGTTATAAGAGAATAGAGTGGGGAAGGCGGCTCTATGGCCCGTATTATAGAAAGCCATATATGTCCGTCTAGTAGAAGGAGAAAGAAAATGAGAGACCGCTAGCTATCTCTCTCTTATGTGACGCATGCGCAGTGGTCTGTCCAATAGTTGGTCCAAGCATCACATCGAAATATTAAGATGCCCTTTACGGTTGCCAATACGCAAGCGCGATTACAGAAAGAAAGCTAGCGGTCTCTCATCTTCTTTCTCTATCTATTAGAGGGACACTTCCACTTGTAGTAGAGGTAGCTTACCAATTACAGCATTATAGCGCATTAGGGTACGGCCAGAGTGCACTCAGATTCAGATTCAGACTCAGAAAACAAGCGCGAGAAATATACAGTGTAGTTTAAGCAGGTTGCCTGCTGCCACTATGGCCACTTATAGACTTTTTTTTCAACACTGAACTTGGCGCACTCTGCTGGTGTCCAAACCACCAGAGTCTACGTCTCCCCTACTCTATTCTTATACCTTTTTTTTTCTATATGGCTTCGCACGGTTTGTGCAACTAGCCAATGTCAAGTGTAAAATGTTTACATATTCCTTAGCACTCGTGGTCAAAATATTAGTCAAGTCAAAGTAAGTGGCAGTTAAGTCAATCCCCCTTTCCCTATGTTTCAGTAAATGTATGGGGATTTACTGGAAACTCCCCGCGGACTTCTTGAGGGAACGTCGAAAGACACTTTCCGCTATTTTGTTTCACTTGCCAACACTTGTGCATGTTTCCGAACACTTAGTAGTTAATAATCCACCATTATTAGACACTAACATCCGCCACAACACAATTTTTAACAAGAAAAACAAAACTGCTAAATTGACGCTTCCCGATCCCGCCAAAAAGTCATTCTTATACCTCTATGGTTTTGACGCTGTGTTTTGACGTTTGTGCGTCTATGAAGTTTGCGGTCAAAGTTCGAAAATACTTCTTTAGAAGAAATAATTATTGTTCATCACATAGATAAATGATTGGTCTCGCTAACCGAGACCAATTCATTGTCATTAGAGACGCGCATTTAGGTTTTTTATCAAATCGTTAGTTTTAGGGCGCTGAATCAATTATTTTACAAAACTATCATAATATATTATGGTTCCGAAAACATTTTCAAGTTCAAGTTTATAAAATTAAATATATATCAACACTGGCTTTTTAACAGAATCTATAAAGAATTAAGTAAATTATATTAATTTATTTTGAATTATTATAAATTAGCATTAAGAACTCATTTATTATCATATAATAAATGAGTTCTTAATGCTAATTTATATTTGATTATATCATAGAAATATCATGTTTTTATACAACTAATTAGACTTAGAGAGAGACCGGTGTATATTAACAAATACTATAGAACCGGAGTAACATCTCTTGAAATTGACCGATCGTAAAAGCCCTAGTCATTAATAATAATCGCGGTCACTCATCCTAAACCCGACCAATCATAATAACCCTCCACAATCAAAATCTTTGCAAATTCTGACTATCCAAAAAAATGGATACCGCACCTATCATCAATTTATAGTTCGTGATAAAATAATATTGAATAAACGTGAATGCAAGTAAGATTGAATCTGAAATCTATTACATTGGTGTTTCTTCTGAATCTTTTATTGACAGAACAACCACGTCTTTAGGGGCGTGGCCTGACAGTTTTTTTTATCAAAAAACAGGCGCAGCATTGTTCTTTTGCTAACCGATTAGGGCAGGGCTATAGATGCGAAGCCGGTTATTAAGGATTTTAACCAAGCGGTTAAAAATGTATTTTTCATTATTAACGGTTAATTAGCCGTATTTTATGCTTGATACGGTTAAATACCACCTTTAAATGCCGCAAGCGGCTTGAAATACACATCGCGAGTTGCGCGATGATGCCAGCTTGTCGACTGGCGGCAAGGGGGGCGGGCGGCGGGACGAAGTGGCGCTCGCATGTCCTGTCGTAATGGTAGACATACACACTACGAGAAATCGTTACGATTAGACTGTACAGTCCGAACGGTACCGATAAATCGTAGCGTGTATGTAATAAAACTGCACAGTTTCCTATACGTACGCTACGTACGATAAACTGTTCCATTCGAACTGTACAGTCTGATCGTAACGATTTCTCGTAGTGTGTATGTCTACCATAACGACAGGACATGCGAGCGCCACTTCGTCCCGCCGCCCCCGCCCTCGACAAGCTGGCAATCGGCCAGTACAGCGAGATCGAGGGAGTGAGACAGCTGACGTGCGTTTAATTTCATTTGTAAAACTCTGAATAAACTGTTTTGTTTAATTCTTCAAGTTAATAGTGTAGAATTCGAACATAGGATGTTACGGTCTTTAATTTTGACAAACCGGATTTGATCGGTTAGCAATACATGCAAATCGGTTTTCGAACCGAACCGCCAAATTTTCAGTAAACCGCGATTTGAACCGGTTTGAACCGTTTGACGAGTTGACGAATGAAACTTATAAAACAACAGGTGTTAAATTTTTTTATTCTACATATTTTGTTGATATTATTACAACGTGCAAATATTCAAAGGTAATTGGAAAATCAGAATTAAAAATGTCAAAATAAAAAAATATCAATTAAAACAGATATCTATGTAATACCGTGTTTAAAAAAATACTAAAATATATATATATATATAAACTATTTAGGAATAATATTTGGTCTACTTTTTTAGAAGCTAGGCGATTACGTCGCATATTACATAATAATGAAAACAAAACTACACCGTCAAATCAGTCAAATCTACCAGAGTCCGTTTCACTTCGGTTCGGTCGGTAAGTTGGTTATGGCTGTTGCGCTAAACGTATCCGCTGCTGTAAGTCGGTGTGTATTGGTCGGTCGGTAAAGCACGTCAGGAGCCGCGCGCGATTTGTGGATGGCGGCATAAACAAGAATTGACATGCGCGCAGCGCATTGCAAACGAATGCCACGATAAACCGGTTTACGAAGACGTTAACCGATGCAACTTGGTCTATGCTCAAACCGGTTTGAAAAGTCGAGTCGTTACATCTCTCTAATAGTGACGTCCATTGGTAAGTATTTACCCTATTTTGTGTTGGTATTCCACAATTGTAACGCAAAGTAATATCTAAACAGGTTGGTATCATTATAATTATCTAAATATGTATTACATTGCGGAAAATTGAATTCTACCAACTGATTGTAGGTACTTCTGCTGGTTGCTTTGAAATTTTATATAGGTTCCTAATAAGTAAAAAATACGAAAATTTGCAATACCAAGACTAAAATGAATACGTACATAGGGCCCTAAAGTAATTTTAATTTGAAAATGCACACCAGTAAATGTTGAATAAAACTTAGAGATTACGTAGTTACGTCTGTTGACTCAACTGGAACGTCAAGTCATCATAACATGCCTGGCGATGTTGATCCCACCATAACCCGGAGTCAGTATAACATTTTCTAGAAGCCAGACGCTGAATCGACAGACGGAAACTGATAAGCTCAACTCGGGCTGTCAACAACATGTTGTCTTAGCTTTTGTAAGTTAGTTCATAGTTAGTCTTGCTGGCAGTTGGAACGAATAAACGTCTCCATTAAAAAATAAATTGTATTTTTAAAAGATCCCTCGGCTCGCCCACGTCTTGACTACGTTGGTTGAAAGTACTAAGAATATTATTAAATACTAATAATATTTAAAAAAAAATGTTGAGATTTAAACTGCCTGATAGTTAAGTGAGATTTGAAATAAATAAAAAATATATGTGTTAATTATTATTGTTTAATTAAGATTAAAACACTGTGATTAGAACAAAACATTGTTTTTTTAATTATTATGAATTATGTCTAAAGAACATAACTCAAATTTGTGTGATGGTAAAAACATAGATATATTAGAAAAGAGGATCGCGTTCAGTAATTAAATTACTCATATTATCTTAATAAATAAAATATTACCTTAAATTACTCATATTCAAGACTGGATTATGTATATTGGTCGGTAGGTTGGTAACCTAGAATTATTAAACGAAGATGATTTATTTGTATAAAAGTTAAAGTAGAGGTGTTGCATAAAGAAGGTGCCGGCAGGTGATGACACTATCCTAGATTGATTTTAAATGTGAATGAATTTCTAAATCCAAAATTTCATCAAAATCGTTAGATCCGTTTCCGAGAAACCAATTACATACCAATATATTTATATAGGTACATACAATAATTGCTCGTTTATAGTATAGGATGTGTGTTAAATTTTTTCAAACAACATAGTTTATTTTTTGTTGCCATTTAGCGTGTAAGGCAAAATTAAAATGTGGTCGTCAAAATTAAAACATAAAG